GAAAAAAAAAAAAAAAAAAAAAAAGACAAACGCCCTGGCTCTCTCATTAAAGACATTAACAAAACCTTTTACAAAGTTTCCCTCAGGGACAATGTCTAGGCATATCTGTTCAAATAACTTTTATCTTTAAATGTGGTCAGACGATTCATGATTCCATCTGTCTTTTTCAGGGCAATAAAACAGCAGACTACTGTTAGGTGTGTTTCAAAGCTTCTAAAAATACTCTGAGCTCACACTCATTTGATGCTAATGCAGACGAAAGACAAGAACGATGAATAGTGTGCATGTGCGTGAGACTAGGGAAAAATATCACACTAGTCTAGCCTCAAGAAATACTACTGAAATACAATGACCTTTAGCAAAACCAAAATGCAGCTGTACACTATAAACTGATTATTCTTGCAGAACAATTACACCATTAAAGGGATAGTTCAACCAAAAATGAAAACACTTCATTGTTTACTCATCCTCGTGTCATTCCAAACCTGTATGACCTTCTTTTTTCTGTGGAACGCAAATTTGAAAAGTCTCATTGTTTTTAATCCATACAATGAAAGCCAATGGGGTCCAAAAGAACATAAACGGTCTGCAATATCTTCTTTTGTGTTTCAAAGAAGAAAGTAAGTCATACAGTTTTGGAATGACGCGAGGTTGAGTAAACAATGATAGAATTGCCATTTTTGGGTGAACTATCGGCTTCTACATCACTTAAAGGTGATTAAAACACTCACCTGATCTTCTGTTAGAACAATCAGTCGGGTTACAATAATGTTCACAACGTTTCCAAGACTGGCATCATGATAAAGTTTGGCAACCTGACCTCCAGAAAAGAAGAAAAGACACAAAGTCAGCCAAGTGCTGTTCGAGTTCTTCTTATGTACGCTTGAATGAAATGCGTATTGGAGACAAACATGCATGAGAAAAGCAGGACCAAACTTACAATATTCATTACGGACAGGATGTAGTGCTCGATGTCTTTGCGACCGTGGTAACCCACCATCATTTTGTCCGCCACCACTAGGGTCTCCACAAATCGTTCAGAGCTGACAGAGCGCCGCTGACGGTGGCCACCCATCGAGCTATCGCCGTCCGTGGCCAGGTAAGGTGGGTTTGCTTCAGGATTGGTATCGTAGCTGGGTGTCCGGTTTATTGTGAGGTCTGGAGATAACAAAAATGGTTCACGTTATCATCAAAAAGTGATTCATTAGCAGTTCAATTGATAGTAAAGTGAGGTTTAGCAGAACTTTAGAGTAGATCTTCACTCAACTTTCATGCCGAGGCCGTTTGCAGAGACTTCCAGCTAAACCTGAACTACTCATTTCCTAAACTGCTATCTATAGCTGTTTATGCCACAATGTGGCCAAATGGAGGTTTACCAACCTGAAACACCACAGCTGAACTCCTCGCTTGGCTCTTGCAGAGAAGGAATGGAAGTCTTTTTATAAATAACATGTGGTTGTCCTTCGTGGTTGACATCACTGAAATTTCTGGATACATTTTTTAATGGCTCTATTAAATATTGCTCGTCCTCTGTGGTTATGACACCATGCTTGATAAGAAAAGAGAAAATGATGGGTTACACAAAAAGCACACAGGAAAAACAAGAAAATATGTTCATTGTCAATGTATGAACTATTCCATCTGCAATGTCAAGGACAAGGTTGTAAATTCATGCATTTTAATGGCCGTATCACATGCTTATCATCTCTACAAATATATTCATGCTGTTGAAATACAAACCAGAACGCAGATAACTATTACTCATATTATTTCAAGTAATTCATATCATTCAGCATTGCAAGCAAATGCCAAAACATGCCACAATACAAATCAATTAGATAAATCGCTCAAAAACCACCAATTACATAAAGAACAACACCGTAATTACTGGGACAGGAACCAAAGCACACAGACCTTGAACACCCCCAATTTAACATAAATTCAAAAAGAGCCTCAGAAATGTGTTTATAGAAAAAGAAGATTCATATCATTCAGCATTGCAAGCAAATGCCAAAACATGCCACAATACAAATCAATTAGATAAATCGCTCAAAAACCACCAATTACATAAAGAACAACACCGTAATTACTGGGACAGGAACCAAAGCACACAGACCTTGAACACCCCCAATTTAACATAAATTCAAAAAGAGCCTCAGAAATGTGTTTATAGAAAAAGAAGATGAAAAAAAAGCTCTGGCATGCTCTCCAAGTCTGTAAAACTCCACAATGAGACCAATTAAATCTTTACAAAGAAACAGCAAACACTGCACACGCAAAACGAAGGCGCAGTTGATATAAGCCGTATGCTGTGTGATGCACGGCGAAAACTGCTGAGGCATTCAAAGGATTGTTTTTCCATTTTTGGTTTCAATAAAAATGACTGAGGCAACGCAGAGATCTCAATTTATGAAGTATGGTGGGCCAGTACTTTTGGCTGCAACAATCATAATATCACATTTTAGCATCATTATAACTGTCTCGTTCTTCATTCTGACTAAAGGGGGAGTATGGGAAAAAGTTTAATATTACAGACGTGATAAAGCAGAGCTGTTTGAAATTTCTTGTGGACTACAACCGTTTGTGTCAGATATCTGGTTGATTTAATGGCAGAGGTGGAAAATTAAGTTTGTAAAAGCATTGCTTTTCCTTTCATTTGAGCCCAGCCATTGGGACAAATCAAATGTATTTGATATCAGATGTGATACATGACATCAGACTAATCCAAGTAAACAAGCTAGTTAGGATCATACTGGGCTTTCTTTTGTGGCCTAAAACATGTGAAATGGTAAAATCGATGCCTGATCTGAGGTCTTAAAGCAATCTCAAGTAAGCTTTTTTCACAGCATTTGTGGCAGAAAAGAATTCACGCTTCATGTCCCTTAGTTTGTAAAAACTCAACATCATATTCACATGTGTTAACATAAGATTCGTGCAGACGTTTTCGACCTTACAAGGAAAAGACCACCACAATAAAATGAAAAGGATTCTTTTAGAATTTTTTTGAAAAGGATTCTTTTAGTAAATTTAAAACATTTATAAGTAAATTTCAAAATTCCATAGTAAGTCCATTACTGTAAACACAATTTTTGCTGGTTTTTACTGGTTAGCCTGTTAGCATTAGCAGATAGTCTGGTAGATGTGTACTTCACCATTCTTAGGCAAAGAGCCTCCCTCTCCATTGACAACTTCAATGTAGCTGTACATTGACAAAATATAGTTTTCATTATATTATACACCTATAAAGCCAAAATGCAGTAACTACACCAACAGTGAAATGTAGAAAATGGCTTTTTTAAAATGTTGATTTTTCACAAACTGAGTGTCCTTCAAAGGACAGGTCAGGGTCTAAGAGACCTGATTTTGGTCATTACTCAATTGTGACAAAATGTGTTATTGCAATATGATCGATGTCTAACCAGTGCCCATTTTTGATATCTCTTAAGAGCATAAAAGAGACTTTTATTTTTTTAATG